AGTACTACTACCATTATTACTGTTACTATTACCATTTTTATCACTACTACTACTGCTACTACTACCACTACTACGACGACGACGACTACTCCTACTACTACTGCTACTACTACTCCTACTCCTACTACTGCTACTACTACTACTAATACTACTACTACTACTACTACTACTACTACTACTACTACTAGTACTGCTACTGCTACTATTACTATCACTACGATTGCTACTACAACTAAGACCTAAGTGTCATTTCCAGCAGTCCAGATCCGGAAGCTCTGAGATTGTTTGCTTACACATTCTGTCATCATCAACCTAGGTTCCCGAGTAGTACCCTTTTCTCCTTTTTGTTTTGGGATTCCTATTACAGCCGAATATTAGGCAAAAAAGAGTACCCTTATAACTAGGGGGTTACTGAGGAACCAAGCAACCGAGGCTCGAAACGGAGCAGCAGAAGCAGTGAGAAGCCTTCCAGACATTCATACAGGCAGCCGCCCGGGGGTTTGCCATGGGAGCAATGATGACCCGGGCGACAATGAGGAATCAAATATGATGACAGAGGAAGATGGATATCGCCCATCCGACTGATGATTGTCCATGATGTGTTGCTTATTGATGTGTTCCTCTGCACGGCTAGTTTTCAGGCTGAAAGTCAACAGTTCTGCGGGACTGGAGGATTCGAACTCGGTCCATGGGAAGTCAACTGACACTGCTCAGTGTTGCTCAGCAGATTCCAGTTTGGGTGCCGGGCTGCGCAGTTTCTCGCAGCTTTGGACGCACTACCAAGCTGTGCATACAAACATATGCACATGTCGGTATGTGTGCGTGTATACCACGCGGCTACGTGTGGCCTCACATTCAAGATAGCCTCCCGCCTGCCTGCAGGACAACAGCCGATTCGGAGCTTGCTGAGGGAGATTCACAGCGACATTTGCAACAGATTGGACAAGCAAGAGGAAGCCATAAACAGGACCGGAAGGGCTTGAAAGCACCCGTGCAGGTTCCCCACTTCATGCCCGCTCGCGCACGCCCCGAAATTTCGCCCTTTCTGATCTTGCAAACCGTACAAGCTCAGCATCAAAGCTGCAATCCTTCCACTCATCACTTCTATGTCGCTCTCCTTGCTACAATGGCCGTTTCAGATAAGTTTCGTCTTTGATGAGTGAAGCTAGAAGCTTTGCTACAAGGACCTTAATGATGAGAATAGGCTTGTGGGTTTCGTAGAGCTATATCGGGGACGATGTTACTAGCTCTGCAGACCCCTACATCAAGCCCGAAGCACGACAAGGGGAATGCTTGCTAACTCACCACATGAAGCCCTATACCACGAGCGTAAAGGTAATTGCGAACTACTGGGTCGAGCTGAGAGGCTTTGGGCTTAGAATGTCGAGTTTGTGGAACTGACTTCAGCATCGTCTACTTGGGCACTATCCGTGATGGTTCTTCGAATTCTCTTGTTTCCTCTTGCCTGATGCCGTTATTTTTGCTTCCCCTCTCGATGCGCCTAGCCATCGTATATGCCTCTTCTCGGAGCATACCGCATGCAATGCCATCAAGAAGCTGCGACCTGCCCCAAACCCCGCAACCTAAACCCTTAAACCCCAAAGCCTTGAAGCCTGAAACCCTGATTAGACTCTAAATCCCGAAACCCTAAACCCTAAACCCATAAACCCTAAACCAGGATACATGTCTCCCGCCGGCCAGTGCCCATGCCGCCGCCTCCGTCCTCCCGTGTCACCGAGGCCGAAGCGTCGGGAATGCACGATTCCAGGGTTTTGGGTTTAGGGGTTTTGGGGTTTTGGGTTTAGGGGTTTTGGGGTTAGGGGTTCAGGCTCTAGAGGCTCTAGGGGTGCATTGTTTAAGGTTTAGTGAGGTGTTTGGGGTTTAGGGTTGAAACAACCTATATTCTAACATACTCCAAAGCTTAGTATTCAGGCTCCTATATTAGCAGCGTTCGGCTTTCATAAGTATTATTCAGGCCTTCCCAAGGCTAGAGAAGCCCCAAAGACGTAGTGTCGAGAAACAAAGCCTGGAAGATACGCTGAAGCCTGAACCCTAAACCCTAAACCCTAAACCCTAAACCCCTAAACCCTGAACCACAAACCCTAAACCCCAGAGGGTAGGCTTCAGGTGCTCGAAGTAATGGAAAGCAGTACTATGGTTGATGATCTAAGTCATGCGGTACCCATAACAAGGAATATACCATCATTCCCGTAGTTCCGGGTCCTTGAGTAAGGTACTGCAGGATTTATATCATCAACAGTATGTCGGTCTTGGGATCGCTTTGCGCGTTGTGGTGTCTGAGTTCGGGCATGTGGAACAGACTTTCCAGGTCAGACGTATAGGTTTCTACAGGTGCATCAGGTGCAACCTCGAATGAAATTTAGGTACCAGCCTACCCAGACAGTCAGCTCAAGCGTCTTGGGCCTTGGGTTTAGGATTCAGGATAAGGTTACAGTCCATATTCCCTATACGACCATAGTATACAAACCCTCTATGGGTGCATGGGCTTCTAGGTGATGCCTTTGCACGAAGACGCATGGATCCAAGTTTGTTGTCGTGTAGCAACCCTAGACCAACCCTTCGGGTTGTTTAGCATTCTGGGGTTAGGCTTCAGCTTCTTAGCGTTTAGTTACTAATGTAGTAGTGATTACGGTTTGAAGGTTTAGCCTAGACGGTTTAGGGTGTAGGGCTTACCGGTGTAGGGTTTTATGGTTTAGGGTCCTAGGATTTTTAGGACATGGGGCACTTGCGAGGCAAATTGTCGATTGATTGCGGTTGGCCCTCGGCTGAGTGTTGTTCTCGTTGTGTTTTGTTTCCCTAAGGGTCCATGTACCCAAATAGCAGAACATTGGCCCTAAAGTACCTATATAGGGACTGCATTAAGGCCAAAGTACGTACTATTTGGGTACATGGGTGGTTGTCAAAATTATGGTCCCTTTTTGGGTCCTTATTATAATACGGCACCTACTATTTGGGGTACCCCAAACGGGACCATATTTTTGACAACTACCCACATGAACCCTTAGAGGTTGTGTGTTTTGTTTTGCAGGCCAGCAGTATGGCTAGCAGCCTACCTCTCGGCGACACGAACGACGCGCCGATCGGGTCTCCGACGCTTTGAGAAAGAGGTATGATACAGAAACCTAGACAGAGTATCCTCACGAGTCGGACGTCAAATCAGATCTACGAAAGGGTGGATAAAACTTGGGTTCTGGGAAGGAAAGCTTGTACCCTACCTGCTTCACATCTTTGTGCCGTCCGTAGTGATGTTTACTGATTCTACATTGCTTCACGGTGCAACAGGGTCGCAGCGATTGACGCTCACGGCACTGATGCCGGTCCAGTGTACATGGCAGTCGGGTAAAACTTGTTCTCTGTGGGAAATTCGCACAGCTGCAACCTGCCGAATGAGTTGCTTTTTGTGAGTACCAAGTCCCTGTCGTCCCAAACCTTGAGTCTGCAAAGTTCTAAAGTGACAGAATTCACCGCCCTGAACCTTGGGGCCATAATATACACCGCCAAGCCGCTAAGTCCATAAACCCAAGCTTAGTTAAACTCAGAGCTCGGAATCTCGACAGCGGAGGGAAGTGTCGAGAAAGCCTGCAGAGTGCTGGATAGCTAAGGACCTTTCAACGATTCTCCTTAAGACCACGCTTGTTCAGCGCCTCAGCTGGTCTGCGCAGGGTTTCGGGATAGCGGTAGAAGCCCCAGTAGAGGAAAGGGTCCTCCGCCCACCCCCACCCACCACCTCGACGACCAACAATACACACACAAACACAGACAGACACACGCACACACACACACACAACACACACACCACACACACAACACACACACACACACACAACACAAACAAAAACACACACACACACAGAGACCACACACACAAGCACGCACACACACACACAACATAACACAAACTCACACACTCACTCACTCACTCACCCACCCACCCACCCACCCCTGCATGCACGCACGCACGCGCGCACGCACGCACGCATGCAGGCACGAGCGCACGCACGCACGCACGCACGCACGCACGCACGCACGCACGCACGCACGCACTCACCCACTCACTCACTCACTCACTCACTCACTCACTCACTCACTCAGAAATACGGACACAGGAACACACACATAAACAAATGAACAAACGAACAATGAATACAATGTAAGTAAATACATGTAAGAATAGATAGACAAACCGATTAGTAGATAAGGCAACATGTATAAGCATATATGTATATGTGTGTATACAATTACATATATGTATATTTGTCTATCTACACACATACGGCATACGGCTACACCAGCGGACAGGCAGACATATATATGTGTATACATACTGTATATGTATGTGTATATATCTGTGTATATATATATATATATACGCAAATTCGGACACAGAAACACATGCACACACATAAAAAGCAATAAAGCAAAATAAATACACATATCGATTAGGAAATACATGAAAATAGCGAGACAAGCATATAAATAGGTCAGTCAACATGCATACGTATGTATGTACATGTATACATATACATCTACACACACACACAGCTACACCAACGGAAAGACAGACTATGTATCTGTGTGAATATACATATCTATATATATATATATATACTGTACATGTACATGTATGGGTATATACACATTCGCATAATTCGCATATTCTATCTATCTATCTATCTATCTATCTATCTATCTCTCTCTATACATATATGTATATAGTATACCCACATGTACATATGGTTGCACCGCGGCGGGCCCCCTCCCACCGCGGACGCGTCCCTCCCAATGGTATTCCCCGATTTTATGACCGTGGAATGGTTGGGTGGTTTGGTTTAGGCCTTCCTCCAAACTGCATGTGATCATCCCGCCTCCGACCTGTGCAACGGCTTGGGCCTTAAGCTTCGGAGTTCAGTTTCTTTTCTTCTGTGGAACAGGATCGCGTCCTCACATGCCCTTAAGGCTGCAGGCTCTTCTATTTGGAGGGTGCGGACAACCATACAAATAAGTATGTATATATATATATACACACATAATATTCGAGTGTTTGCATTATAGACACTTAGATTGATAGATCGATAGGCAAACTCAAAAGAGATAGAGAGATGGGCAGAGATAGAGATATGGATTAGATAAGAGAAGATTAGAGATTAGAAAAGGTAAGATAGATAGATAGACCGATATATAGACAGATAGATAGGTAGTTAAACAGACAGATAGATAGACATATAGAGAGATATAGGGAGATAGGAGTTGTATATATTAACGAAACCACATATAAAAAAATAAAACAAAAAAGTTATAGATCAAGATACAGATTCATTTATAGGCTATATCATTTAGCTGTAGCTACCGACAGAATTCGGCATAGACGCAGTTTATAGAGAATGATATTGTGGATGCAGATATACAGATACAGAAAGATGCACGCTTAGGTGTATAATAGGTATACGCATTGTGTGTAAATATGTACACATACATGCGCCTACATACACAACTATGAGTTGTGTTGGATTCTTGTGTGGTTGGAAAAATAACTTGCACATACATTCATCCATTATTTATTTATCCATGCATCCATCCATTCATCCATCCATCCATTCATACACACATACATACATACATACATACATACATACATTCATACATACATACATACATACATACATACATACATACATACATACGACACCCATAAATTCGTACCGAGGTACATAATATATACATACATGTACATACATACATGCATACAGACATGTATATATATATACATATGTACACTCATACTGTACTTCACGGGTTTTGGCAGCTCGCATGTCTGTGTTACTTCCTTTCTTTCAGTGCACGAGCTGGCCATCTCTGTGTCTCGAACGAGCGCAGACGAGAGTTTCATAAATTCGGAGATCCTAAGCCCCCCCCACCCCTAATATTAGGTTTCATTGCTTATGGTTGAGGGGTTTGGTGGTTTTGACCCAAAGAAGCCGACGAGTCTCAGAACCCCCAAACTTTGAGCCGTTAAGCCCTCCACCCGTTAAGCCTGGAAGTGTTTGTTCCACGTTACTCCCGCCTGACAAAATCTTTGCCACACCTGGGATTGAGCAGATGAGGTACTTTCGACAGTTCAGACTTTCCGGCTTTGGAGCTTTAGGGTTCATCGAGTTCAGGGTTTAGGATACTCGGGATTTAGAGGCTTCTTCGCATAGATCCGCAATTTGTTCTCCCATATCTTTCGCATGGATGGACAGCTGCTGGGTGTGACGTCCGTGGGTCAGCAGTCTCTACAAAAGTGTTGCCGGGGTGCCAGCGAGTCTAGGTCGCACTATGTAATGAAAGGCTTCCCACCGCCAAGGAGAGCGGCACAGAAGAAGACTCCCCAAGGGTCCAAACGACCCAATAATCAGATGCTTAGGTTTCGGATAGTACTTATGTAGGCTACTATTTGGGAGAGTATATGATTATCAGGTACTTGGACCCTTAGGGACTGTTCAAGAGCAGCTGTCCTCGCAAGAGCAGGGGTCCCTTATCGCCGAGCCGAAGAGATCTCACCAGCTCAGGACATTGAATAATCTTTCTCCCTGGCCCTAGAGCCAAAACCTATAAAACCCCTAAACAACTGCAGGCATTGTGGGTCTTTTGAGCGTTGCGGCGTTTGGAGAAAATGCCATTGCACTAGATCAAAAACTCTAGGCATGTTTCGTAGCACCATGGTTTGGGGGTTTTACTGTGAACCACCGGGAGAATAAGAAGCTGCCTGCTGGCTGCATGGCTGGTCAGGGCCTTGTAGGGCCCTAGGGTGTAGAGCGTGAAAACAGCGTGGGGCGCGATGGGTGCCCCGTTTACTTTAGGAACCGTGGCGTGCCCGCTTATCGCGCGCTTGCGTCAGCAAATAGTCCCGCGCCAACGACCCCAATTATTCTCAAGTAGGGTTTATAGTGTTCACCTCCCGAACCCCCTCAAGGGAGGCTTGCTTGCTTTGCTCTGTGCTTCCCTTCTGCACAAAACGACCACATTTCACAGCACCACAGCTGAGATGGATTGATGTCGGGTTGTGGGTCCTCGCGGCCTGTGTCGGCCGCTCGACGAGAAGACATCTACCGTCTACCTTGAGAGGTTTGGGCGGGCCTTGCAAATGGAGGTTAGAGCAGGCACACACAAAGCAAGGAGAGTATTGGCACCCGACCGTTGAAATAGTGCTGAAAGGCTTGCAGCTACTTTCCATCCTGTAGGCCGGAAGCAAGGCCAGGTTCGTTGGCCTGCACAGGACAAACCGGTGAGGCTTTATCCTCACCTCTCCGTTTCCCGCTCTTCTCGGAAAGGCGCTCGGGATCGCTCGGGCTGTGAGCGCTCGGCCAAGTCGTTTGGGGTGTGTCGCTCGACGGAAGCGACCCTTCACTAAGTTTAGAGTTTTGAGATTAAGGTTTTAGGCTTGGACAATGGGACAATTGGGTTTAGGTTTGAGAGCTAGTTGCATGCTGGTGTACATAGCCTTTGACGTTGTTGTAATCACCACAAGCATCCCCTGCAACCGAGAATTCAGACCCTCGAGCCGTAAAGCTGCAAACCCGACAGCCCTAACAAGAATTCCGGTTTCCTTGCAGGTACTTTTCAGGACTATGACACACAGCTATGGGCTCCTCAGCTCTGTTTCAGTGTTTTTACAAGGTTATCGCTTTTGGGTCTAGCGATTAGGATACAGGGTTGTATGACCGCTGAATTCTCTTGATTTGAGTTTTAAGTTCTGCAGCCGCACAGACGGTCCGGCTTTACTGTGGCTGAACGCGGTCGTCTTCACCTTGTTACTATGACTCGAGCGGCAAATCCTAAACCTTCAATTCCGCAGCCCTACAAACCTACATCCTTAGTGCTCCAAGGCTTGCATGAATGCTACGAGGCCGTTCAAGTCTCAGTTGAATACGACTATATAGAAGTATTATACTACACATTGCCTTATTCCACTTATTGACATATACATATATACCGTTTAAAACAATAGACAACAAGCCCTAAACACTGCAAGCCCGATATAAGCCCAATAGCCCCCGAAGGACATGGCCTCCAACGCAGACGCCCGCAACTCCCGCGCAAGATTCGCTGCGCAGAAGTCCGGCGAAGCCCAAGGAAGCGTTCCGGGGTTCGGGTAATCTAGTCTGATCTAATCTAATCTAACCTATTCTAATCTAATCTACTGTAATCTAGTCACAAACAAAGTAAAGTAAATTCGAGGGTGGTATGGTATGATATTGTTTTGTTTGTTCTGGTCTGGTATGGGATGGGGACGGATGGGATGAAGTTGGATGGCAGGCGGGGCTTGGCATGGCATGGCACGGTATGGTATGGTCGGTATGGTGTGGTATGGCATGGTACGCTATGGGGTTGGATGGTATGGGATGGCTTGGCACGGCATGGCATGGGATGGCATGGTATTCTGTGGGATGGCATGGCATGGCATGGCATGG